AACAGTAGTCCAAGGCGTGCGAACTGCACCATCATGTCAACCATAACAATGCAGCAACAAGCCATACTCGAATATTCAGTTTGAGCGTTCTCTATTCTTCTCTATTGATGGTCTCGATACACTCTGCAGACCGCTAGAACTTAGTTGCATCGTGGAGCAGATGTGTAAACGGCATATCATGCTGTTGCTTTTCTAGGCGAGCGGCGATGAAATGGAACAACCGGTGTGCGGAAGAACGGCTCGCCCAAAATGTATGCATACTGAACCACGAATGCATGCACGCTGAACTATTCCTAGGCGGGAGGCATCAACAGCTGACCTTCCCACAATTATGTAGTGGAGATTGCAGCCTGGTATACCATTACGCGCTGTGAATTCGTTAATAACAACGTCCACCGAAGGACGACCCTCTGCGAGCAAAGCACAGTTATCGTCAGGAAGGGGAAACCGGTCGGGTAATCTGAAGAGCCCGTAGAACAGCTCTTGATCAAAGATTGTATCACGCCAGAACAATGTCAACAGCACCATCTACTCACATCCTTCGTCTATCATGGCTGAATTCACCGTAAACCTCTAGCTCCCACCCGATGATAACCCCAGCGAATAGCTACAGCATCATATCATGCCAACTCCTCGCAACCACCATGCTAGCGCTAGCTTAGAAACGAGGGGCTGGGTCTTGAATAGTGAGCAGGGGTTGAGTCACCGAAGAACTCTTTTATCAATTGCAAACTGACCATTCGCATTCGATGTCATTAATTTTGTCATCGGGACTATATCTGTGTTCTTTGTCTTGTCAGCTAAGTCAGTTACCTTCTGGCGAGACCTTCGGCGACGTGACATTTGCCCAATAGACGTATTGGAAAGGAAATTACTACCTATATTACTAGCTATAAGTCCAGAGTAACGAGAAGAGCGATCGTGTGCCTCAGTCCTGTGTGTATATCCAGTAGAAGAACGTGTGGACAATTCCCTACTGGCAAACCCTGACCTAAAGTACTGCTTTCCATCAGAGGAGGCACTATTCCCTCTATTCGTATCAGCCTCGGATTCTCCAGCTCCTCAGCATCATCATCATGCTTGCCAGTAAGGTCACGTGGTGTGTGCCATTGCTGCTAGCAGTGCTACTGGGTCAGCTATACATGACACGTAAGGTTCATGCTCAGCCTGATTTCGGCGCGGTGACGGTGGAGTCGGACACAGCAGCTCCGGCGACGACGTCAATGGAGACGACGCCAACAGCTGCCGCGGAGACAACACAGGCAGGCATGCCGGCGGTGGAGACGACACCCATGCGTCAACCAGCACGTCCTTCCATGGCGAACGTTGCTGCTGCTGCTGCTGCCGCCGCCAGTGGATCATCGAGTAACGGTGAAAGCATGTCGTCTGAGTCCGACTCACTGTCTGATGAGCGGCAGTAAGTATTGCAACACTGTCGTATATTTATGTTATCATACTGTGCCAAACGGATTGTCGAGTCAGTGAACAGACGCGGACAGTTTCCGGAAGAGGTGGCTGCCCCACTGTTGACACCCTCCTCGTCCCATGATGAACACAACTACAATACATATGTAGTATTACTTCTTGCGTGTGTGTGTATGTGTGTGTGTCGTGCGCGTGTGCGCGCGTGTGCGTGCGTAGGTATGTATGTATGTGTGCGTGTGTGCACGTGCGTGTGTCTGTGTGTGCGTGTGTGTGTGTGCGCGCGCGCTCGGCCTGATAAGTGATATAATTACAAGTACATGTACACTGAATACTCGATGATGGCTATTTCCACTTGATCCTTAGACAGTGTACACTACCAGAACAGTGCAGTGCAGTGCAGCTTTCTGGACGTGATCATGACAATAATTATGACATTGAATCTGATCACATGATCACATAATCTCAAGCCTTGCAGTATTATAGTACATGTATTGTCAGCTACGTAGGTTTTCCATAGCTCACTGGATTGATATCTGTTCGTTACTACCAACCCTCCGTTTTCTTTTCCTTCTTTCTCCTATCTCTACGTTTCCACAATAGCCTTTAAAAAATTCCATTCACAGTGGGTCCAGTCACTCCAATGTTATTAGGCATTATGCCTGTTTTGATTTCCACTATAAATAAAGTACAACAACAAAATTACGAACTTAGAAACACCGTGTATTGAGCAGGGAGTGGTGCTTTCTTGCAGGTTTGCCGAGTGGAAGGTGCGACGTGCTCCTCGTGTGCTCCGGATGGCAGTCGTGAGTCAGTCAAGTGTCAAGTTCGGCAAGAAGCGTGTGTTCCTAGTTGGAACAATCAACTTCATAACAACAAAATTATTATTCACACTTGCCACGTGATCGTTGCCACGGTTTGAGCCAATCAGAGCGCTCACAGGCAGGGCATGAACCTCTGATCATGCCCTGCCATTCAGGCCCTTGGGCTTGAAAAGTTGAATGGCACCGTAGGAGAACATGAATGATCACGTGATGAGTATACTCGCATGTGGAGAGACTTACCTGATCGAGGTGGAACAACTCAAGAGAGAAAGAAAAAGCCTGATATCATGCGGTGGCATTTCAGGCCCTTGACCAATCAGCACGTCCCGAGAGCGTGTGGAGGTGAAACTGAACACGCCGCCATGAAGGTATAAAAGGAACAAACCTATAGGGGGGACGTGGAGGATTCAGCTTCTGAGTTTCAGGTTGGTACGCTCGAGGGCTTTGTTGATTCAGGCCCGAGAGCGGCCCAAGGCCGAAGGCCGCGGGCCGCTCGAGGGCCTGAATCAACAAAGCCCGAGAGCGTACCAACCTGAAACTTCACCTTGCTTGAGATGAAACTTTACCTTGCTTGAGTTGAAACTTCACCTTGCTTGACATGAAACTTCAGAACGAAACTTCACCTTGCTTGACATGAAACTTCAGAACGAAACTTCACCTTGCTTGACATGAAACTTCAGAACGAAACTTCACAACGAAACTTCAGCCGGAGCGCACGGAGGTGGAACTTCAGCTTGTGAGTTTCTGCCATTGTTGTGCAACGAGTGCCATAAAGGACTTGAGAACTTGGGCAGGCAGGCACTCGGTGTTTCTAGTTGATGTATTTCAAGTAGTTCGATTTATGCAGATTAGTGCAGTACAGTGGCTTTGTTTGCGCTGCTAGGTGCGTTGTAGGTGCACTTGCACGTGCACGTTCTGCTGAGGAGAGCGTTCTGGCTTTCACTTGTGCTGTCGTGCGTGGGTGGCAGTGTGAAACACAATCAGACATGGATGTCAGGGCAGGTATGTTGATTCCGGCCCTCGAGCGGCCCGCGGCCTTCGGCCTTGGGCCGCTCTCGGGCCTGAATCAACGATACTGCCCTGACATGCATGTCTGATTCTATACTTATTATTATTATCAAATTTTTTGATAGGGCAATCCCCACAGGCCTTCTTACAGGGTACCCTAGAAATGAAAGTACTGAATTACGGAATAGATGCAGGGAAGAGCATAAGCGGACTGCAGCGGGGAGTGCATTCCAACAGTCGGAACCGATGAAAGAAACTGAAAAGAGACCGAAACGAAAAATCCATATTGAACAAAACTATGTTGTTCTGTTCATCTTGACGGACAATCACATAATCTTAGTCTAAGACGCTTGGTTCATAATAACTTCACATCCTTCATCTTTCTGCGAGAACCGGACCTACATGTACTTCTTGAAGTATGAGAACGCAATCATGCCTGTGCAATTGGTGAAGTAAAAATAAAAGTCAACAACAACAACATCATTATCAGTGGATGATAAGAAGCTCCAAATTGCTGGCGTTACGAATGGCTTCATGTGATAACTGCTAATTCTCATCTGCTCTGGAAATGTCTGATGCAATACGTAATGGCGTATATATGTACATGTACATCACGATTGACAATGTACATATTCGCCTAGTACATTATACTTGTGCATGACAATTGACATCCTTTGTTGTTGTTTTGAGGCTGTATATAGGCTCACAAAACCTGTGCATGGTTGACCGGCAAATAAAGAAAACAACAACTACAAGATGCATTATCCTGCAGTAGTAACAGTCTCAGTGACATTGTGCATGTAATGATCTCCTGTCTATTCTGTGAACAAGACTAGTCTTATTAATTTTGTAGTGCCGTCAACACTGCTTTGCGGTGGTGGATTTGTAGACTGTACAATGTTCCAGTAGCAGAATAACGTACCGGTAATACTGCTTCACAGAGGGCTGCGATACCTGTGACCTGATTGTCATCGCCACATCATGTAGCCCTGTGAAATAGCGATAGCGAAAGAATCATGAATGTTCACAAAATAAAAAATAAAAAGATATCTAAACTCGCAGTGTGCATTGTCAGCTGCTCATACTGCTCTTTTGATTGATTTTTTTGATTGATTTTTATTTCACGGATCCTCCAGAGGCAAAAATATGCCTATCGAAGGGAGTCTCCTAAGTATGGAAAATGAGAAAGTATGTTCGTAGGGGAGAAGAGGTAGAAGAGGTAGAAGATACATTAGAAAATAGAGTACAAAAAGAAGTAAATTCAGTACTTCGGGTAGTACATTGCATGCTAATCATAATGAGAATTAGAAAAGCAGCATTGCGGACTACTATAACTGACATATACACAAACTATTGAAACTATCATACATGTGGTTAGCCTAGATACAAAAGTCAGGAATACCTTTCAAAGAAAACATAGATTGCGAATGATACCGACGAACAGCAGTACTAAATTTCGCTGTTGTAGAGAGTGTAGTGGTGTCAGTTTACAGAGTGTAATGTATTGCCTTCAAGTACTAATGCTCTGGTGTTGCATTGCGTTACCTTAGTTATACATTGGCACCACACGTTATCATATACCACTCATATCATGTCACACCTATATCATGTCACACCTATATCATGTCACACCTATACGATTGGTATAATAGACTAGCAGAGCTACAGGGAGATCTCTCTCTCAGCCTGCACACCTAACTGTTGGTCACCACATTGGCGCAGTGAACAGGATTGTGGCCAGGCAGGATGGCAGCAGTCAAGGGTCGACCACCACGCGAATTTGTTGTGGACCCCTCTGCCAATATCGCAGCCGATTTCGACCTATGGCTAGAGGACTTCGAAGACTATCTCGATATCGCTAAGGTCGCAGACGCAGGGGAAAAGAAGAAACTGCTTCTAAACCTGGCAGGCCTATCTCTTCGCCGCATTGTGAAGGGTCTCCAGGTCGCAGAACCCTCTGGTGACCAGGACGCGTACCAAGTCTTGAAGGCCGCAATCCAATCGTACTTTCGCCCGTCGGTAAATGCAACTGCGGAGCGTCACAGATTCAGGAAACTCAGGCAGCAGTCTGATGAGTCCGTCACCTCTTTCATGGGACGGCTCCGAGAAAAGGCGGCACTTTGCGAGTTTGACTCGACTGCAGTGGACTCGGTTGTGAATGGCCAGCTTCGGGACCATTTCATAGCCGGACTGCAGTGCCAGGAGGCACGCAAGCAGCTTCTAATGGAGTCAAGACTAACGCTAGCTGATGCTATCGCGAAAGCTGTCGCATTAGAAGCCTCAAAGGTTGACAATAGGCTGTTCAGTGAGGAAGCAGGAAGGACACTGGACATGCCTTCGGGAAGTGTGGCAGCCGTAGCACCGGATACGGCTGCGGTGAATATGGTGAAACACCGTCAGCACGGCAGATGCAAGGCTCACACGTGCAAGTACTGTGGCGGAACCCATCCACCAGGCAAGGACAATTGCCCGGCTGCGCGAGTTCGCTGCAGACACTGCTCAAAGGTCGGGCACTTTGAAGTCGTCTGCCTGTCCAAGAGCAAGGAAGTTAGAGCCCAGACTATTGGCGAGGAGGATGAAGCCAATGAAATTTGCGAGTCTGTGTATACCATGCACACTGATCAGAAACACTGGTTCACAGCAGCTCTGCAGGTGGATGGAAAATCATGTGAAGGCCTGCTCGATACTGGTACAACGAGAACAATTTTGACATCGGACATAGTGCAGCCTACTCGTCGCAGTGACCGAACTCTCCGTGCCTACAACGGGGGAGTTGTCAGCACACTGGGGATGGCAGACGTTACCCTATCATCTGCCAGTCGTAGCTGCACTGTGGCCTGTTTCATTGTACCAAAGGGCTCCCACCGAGTGCTATTTGGCCAGGATGTGATCAAGGAACTCGAGCTACTAGTGCCAACCCACCTGGTGGAGTCTGGAAATGTGGTCAGCGTTGCACCAGTCAGCATTACCGTCAAGCCAGATGCAGTGCCTGTCGCTCTGCCAGCTCGGCGTCCCCCTTTCAGCATCAAGGACGAGATAGAGACAGAACTTCAGCGGTTAGTCGATGCTGACATCATCGAGCCCGTGAAAGAGGCTGCGGCATGGGTTTCCCCAATCGTGCCAGTTCGCAAACCCAGTGGCAAACTGCGTTTGTGTATCGACTACAGGCAGCTGAATAAGAATGTTGTCCGAGAGCGACATGTCCTGCCAACCCTGGATGAGATAACAGCGCAGCTTGACGGAGCGCAGGTGTTCTCAGTCCTCGATGCAGAGTCGGGATTTCACCAAATTGAGCTTGACCAGGAGTCGCGTCCACTGACGACTTTCGCGGCCCATTGTGGGCTTTATCGCTTCAAGCGTCTGCCATTTGGTATTGCCAGCGCACCAGAAATGTTCCAGCGCGTGGTCTCGGATATTTTGGCAGGGCTCCCAGGAGTGATTGTCTACATTGACGACATTCTTGTGATTGGAAGCAGCCAGGAAGAGCATGACAGGCGTCTCGCAGCAGTCCGGCAGCGCCTGGAAGCAGCAAATCTCCGGCTCAATGCAGACAAATGCCAGTTGAGCAAGTCCAGCGTCAAGTACATTGGCCACTGGCTGTCGGGCACCGGTGTGGCTCCCGACGGTGACAAGCTGCAGGCCATTGCAGACATGGCTATGCCTAAGTCGCTTCAGGATGTGCAACGTTTCCTCGGAATGGTAACCTACCTCGGAAGATTCATTCCAGATATGTCGTCCATCTCCGAGCCGGTGAGACGGTTGGCAAAGCGTGTGCCCTTCATTGTGGATAGCGAATTCTGCAACGCGTTCAGCGACGCTAAGACGCAGCTGGTGCAGGCACTGGACCACCTGGCCTACTTTCGTTTGGACCCAAACGTTCCAACGGCCATAAGCTGTGACGCATCGCCTTGTGGCCTGGGAGCAATTCTATGGCAGCAGAATTCTAGTGGTCAATGGCTACCAGTGACATGTGCCAGCCGCACTCTCACAGAGGTAGAAACTCGATATTCGCAGATGGAGAGAGAGATGCTGGGTCGTGTTTGCGCTGCAACGCTTCCGGCAGTACGTGCTCGGGCGACACGTCGAGGTGCATACTGACCACCAACCCCTGATATCCATAGTGCAGAAGCCGTTTGATGATGTACCTCCCCGGCTACAGCGTTGGCTGGTGTCTCTCATGCCCTACACCTACAAGTTGGTGCACGTACCAGGAAAACAGCTCTTGTGCGTGGATGCTTTATCCAGGGCTCCACTACCTGGCCACGCCCCTTCGACTGCTGAGACAAAGTCTATGGCCGAGTTTGTTGGCATGGTGCTAGAGGCCTGTCCAGTAGACCTGGAGCAGGTTGCACAGGCCACGCAGGACGACTCTATTCTACATAGTATTCTGCAACGAGTGCTGACGTCCAGATGGGAGGCTGTGAGTGCAAGTGAAGAGGCATACTTCATCGTACGCGATCAGCTCTCAGCCTCAGAAGGTGTCGTGCTTTTCAACGCAAGAGTGGTCATCCCGGAAGCGCTTCGCACTGCAGTTATGGCGTTGGCACATGAGGGGCACCCAGGTCGAGCTGCATTCCTGGAATCTCTCCGACGTCGAGTTTGGTGGCCCGGTGTCACAAAAGATGCCACATTGTACGCCGAGCGCTGCTCGGAGTGCTATAGGAAACATAGCAACTCGCATCAGGAGCTTCTCCCTTCTGAGATTGAAGGTGTATGGGAGAAGCTCGCAGTAGACCTGGTGAATGTGGAAGGACATCAACTGCTTTCCATCATTGACTATGGCTCGCGCTACCCGGAGGTGATCCTACTGCAAAGCACGTCAACCACCAGCGTTGTGAGTGCATTAATGGAGACGTTCGCAAGGTTCGGCTTGCCAGCACAACTGGTCTCGGACAATGGTCCCCAGTTTGCTGGCAGAGAGATGGCAACGTTCCTCCAACGCCTAGGGATCCGTCACGTTAAATCGAGCCCACGCTACGCTCGGTCTAATGGCATGGTTGAGCGTTTTCATCGCTTACTGAAGGAGCGGATGGCAGGGCTTAAACCACATTTACCGTTCAGCCGACGCCTGCAGCAAGTATTGTTCGACGTCCGTAACAGCAACAACCGAATGATTGGGATGGCGCCAAATGAGGCGCTGTTCAGTAGATTGGTTCGCACGAGGCTCCCCGCGTCAATTACTCCGACGATTGTCAATCCGCCCCACCAAATCCAAGCCAAGGCAGACATGGCCACGCAGCATGACGCTCGCCGAGGAGTGCGAGCGCTTCCTTCAATGAAGCCGGGCACTAAAGTTATAGTGCAGGATGGTTACTGCAACCCAAGACAAACTTGGAAAGTCGTCGAGCAGTACGGACGACAGGTTGGAATCACGGATGGACGCAGAATACTCTTGCGGAATCGTGTTCACTTACGTGAAGTGGTCCGGCCGGGATGCCAGGTGCAGCCAGAGGTAACACTGCAGGAGCGACATCTGCGGCAGCCGAGCATTCCTCACCCAGATCGGCCACCTGCAAGTATGCCACAGACGAGACGACAGGAGGAGCCTAAGTCAACTGGACACCCTGTGCAGCCCGGTCCTGTTCATTCAGAAGCAGGTCCGACCGGAGTCGCCAGTGGAAGTACACCAGCCCCAGATGCATTACCAGCGCGACCGGATGACCCTCCGGAGAGTCAGCGTGCCAACCTGGGAAGCCGA